GCGGCGGCGGCCAGCCCTCGTCTTCGCCTCGCGCCGGCTCGGAGCTGGGAAGAGGCGCCGCCCCCTCCCCACCTGCAGGGGACCCCTCTTCCCCGCCCGCAGCCCCCAGTCGCCTCCGAGACACCCCCAAGCCCAAGAATGGTTCCGTCCACAGCCACATCAATGTAATGTTTATTCGAGTCCAGGTCCCACTCCCTCGGTGACAGTCCCTCCCCCTCCCCGTGTCACCCCGTGCAGTGGCCCGGGACAGCGCCCCGCCCCCAGCTCCGCTCAGCCAACCCCCTCCCAGCTTTCAGAAGTCTCATTTGCATTTCCGGGAGCCAGCGTCCAATGGGAAGGCGGAGCCCCGCCTCTCCTCCCGCGGGGGCGGAACTCCCGGCGGACTGCACCACTCCTGGGAGCCAAGGATGGGGGGGGAAGCGCTTCTACCCAAGTCCGAGCGACAGGAGGGTGGTCTCTCCCGAAGGCAGGGCGGAAAGGTCATCGGAAGAGGTGTCTGGCCTTAGAAGAGGCCCAGCAGCCCGCTGTCCGGGACCGGCTCCTTGATAATGTTCATGATCTGCAGGGGCGGGTGGGGTGGTGTCAGGAGGAGGCCAGGGTCCTGTCTCCATCCCCCCCCCCGTGTGGCAGCAGATGGGCAAATCCACCATTCGCTCTTCTCAAAACTCTTCCTCCCCACACCCACCTGGTTTGGCTCCCACTGGGCTGCCACCGTGGCTGGGGCCACTATTCGTGCACAGCTGTCCGGGGGCTTCTCGTGTACACCTGCCCCCCTTTTTATTAAAAACTGAACCCCCTCAAAAACCGAACCTCCGCCCCTCGGCGCGGAGGGGGAAACCGAGGCACGGGGGACGAGGGAGCGGGGCGCAGGAAGAGACAGGCACGCGGGCGAGCGGATGGGTGGACGGAAGGACAGCCGTTCCTGCAGAGTGGTCCCTGCTCCCCCAGAGACGCAGCCCCGGGACCCACACCGGGGGCCCCCGAATTCGACAGCCTCCTTGGAGATCTGGGAGTCAGGGTCCCCAGGCCCCCGCCAGATTCCCAGCCCTGTGCCCCCGGCCCCAGCGACCCGAGGAGGGAAGCCACTGAGGTCCCCAGGGACCCCAGCGTCAGCACTCGCAGCCGGTCCGTCCCCTGCTGGGGAATCTGCGCCCCCACAGCCGACCCTGGGATTCCAGCTTGGACACATGGGAGGGGGAGAGGTCCCCGGGTGAAAGGGAGCCTGGGGCATCATTACCTCCTTGAACTTGGGGTGTGTGGCATCACGCACAAGCTGCAGAATGAGGCTCTCGCTGGTGGAGAGGAAGGCACCGCTCTGTCGCATCCGGGACAGCGCCACCAGCCGGTCCACCTGGCTGCAGTGGGGAGGGGCGTCAGGGCCAGGCTGGCCCCCAGGACCCCATGACAACCACGGGGTGCAGCCGCCGTTTCCTCACGGGGCAGCGGTTGTTCCAGGGTGCACCCCCTTGATACCCAGCCGCCCCGGGAGGGCCCTCTCACCTGCGGGAGGAACAGGCGTCGACAACCACGTGCACCTCCAGCCCCCGGTCCAGGAGGTCCAGGGCCGTGCTCTGGGGACAGAGAGAGGTCAGAGCCAGGACAAGACTAGGGGCCCTGGGTGAAGAGTGGGGGATTCCACATCGGAACTGGGGGTCCGGGATGGGAAGGGATGAGGAAGGCTCGGATCAGGGAAGGGGTCCCCAGGTTAGAATGGGAGGGGTCAGGAGGGCCGTTCCAGATGAGGACAGGGGTCCCGGGTCAGGATGGGGAGGGGTCGTCCCCAGTCATGGTGGGGGCCCAAGAGGAAGAACGTTGTGGGTCAGGACAGGGCGTTGGACTCAGGCTGGGGGTCCAGGTGAGCAGGGGCGCCCCGGCCCGTGGGCAGGGTCTCACCAGGACGCAGGCTTGCGCCTCGATGCCGCAGAGCAGCACGGAGCACAGCTGGGGCCGGGCGTCCAGCTCCTGGCGCAGCGCGGGCACCATGCTGAAAGTGGTCTTGGGCAGCACCGGCAGGCCGTTGGTGTGCAGCTCGGGCACCGTGTGGCCCAGGCCCTTGGGGTACTGCTCCGTCACCAGGGCCGGCACCTCCAGCAACTGCGCCACCTGCCCCGGGAGGGGACAGAGCCTGGTCTGAGAGCGGCGGGTCCGGGGACTGAGGGTCTGGGGGCAGGGAGCCCGGGGGTGGCGGGCCGGGAGCGCGGGGCCGAGGCGCTACCTTCAGCATGCGGGCAGCCACGAACAGGATCTCGGGGAAGTAGGCGATGTTGTGGCGGAACTTCTCCTGCATGTCGCACAGGAACAGGACGGATGACCTGGGGTGGATTCTGCCCAGCGCGGGCCTGGCAGCCGCCATGGCCTGCGGTGGACACAGACCCTTGTGGGAGAAGGCAACAGCGTCAGGGCTGCCTCTGGGGTCTCAGGTGACTCCCGAGAGCAGGGCCGGAATCCTGAGGGGCTCCTGCCAGCCTCTTGGGGGGTACAACCCTCCCGCTCCTCCCCTGACATAACACCGGGCAGGGGGTGGCTTGCCCAGGGCACAGAGCCTGTCACCTGCGGGGTCAGGAAGAACCATCTCTCACACCGTGTCTGGGGCCCTCGGCTCCTCCCAGCCCCTGGCCCTGCACTGGGCTCCGCTGGCTTCCATGAGGCCTGCAGCTGTTTTGAGACTCGTATCTGGCTTTCCCGAGCTTGCATTGACCCGGGGTCAAACCTGCTGGCTGAACTCCCAGGTCTTACAGAGAAAGGCCTGGTGAATCTGAGCAATGGGATATCGCTGTCTCCGTTCCGGTGGATGCCCAGTCACCCCGGACAACAGAGGGGAGCTGCCCCACAGGGTCCCCAAGGCTGTCAGTCTTTACTAATGCCCACTGCCGAGGAGTGGATTCTGACCCACAGCGCCCCTAGAGGACAGAGTGGAACTGCCCACAGGGTCTCCAAGGCTGTCAATCTTCACAGAAGCAAAGCCCA